TGCTAAAGCAACAACGGCAAAGATAGCCAAAAAGAGAAGAGAAATATTGAATTTCATTTTGATTTGTTCAGTTAATTTTTAGCAAATTTTGGTTTGTTTTCAAATTATTTTAGAATTTTGGTTATTCTTCGCAATCACAGATAAATGGATCTTTTAAATGTTCGATTCAATGTTAATATTAAGCAAGAAATTGATTGTTGATTGTAAATGGGCTGTGTGTCGTACATCATACATAAAATGAATAATATAACAATAAGAAAAAACAAACGGTTATTTACTTTTAGGCGCGTATAAAACGGAAAGGATCGACATCATTATTATTATGATAAGAAAAATTAATACTCAATCGTTTTTTAATTGTAGAATGACAAAACGTCTCACTTTAATTATAAATCTTGTTCATTCCCGTGCCATTCTTTGGGCTGGGCTGATTTTATTGTTTTTTGTTATTATTATTTATTTTAAACGGTAATGGTGAAATTTCCAAAAATCGTTATGGAGTTATTAAAAAGTCAAAATATTCAATGTCAGTTTTTTAACGGTTCTAATTAATTTTAGACTATTTCAAGGTTTGTCGCGTGGTTGCTTCCAACTTTTAAATCCGAATCATTTGTTAACGAAACAATTGTTGGTGAAGTGAACAAAATGAATCAAACCAACATTTATTTTTACGTTATCAAATTCACGATTTTGATTGGTCAATCAACGATTGCATGGGTTAAAATATCGATCCCCAGATGATGTTCGATATCAATATTTATAAATGTGCTATTCTTAAGCATGTAGAGCATTATGCTTTAATTCCCATTGCTTCAATGACAAATACAGTGCATATTATACCAAAATTTAGTAAACCGGGAATTTTACTTTGTAAATGCGGTGCAGATCACCTATAATCATTAATTGCTTATAATAACAATTGGTCAACTTCAAAATACTAAAACAAAAAAAAATTATATCATTTTAAAAAATTTAACCGATAAGTTTTATTGTTCATGACTCAAGCTTCAAAACTTATCGGCTGGTTTTTTCTTAAATTGAAAATTGGCAGAGCCTTAGCATTTTGAAAATTCCGAATTTTGTTATACATTTAATATTAAGAAATTGAGACCAAGTAAATTTCGTGTAACAACTTTTTTTCATAGAATATTTTCTACAACATACATTTGATTTATTTGATTTATTTGATTTATTTAATTCCTTTTTTTTATTAATAAATATATATACAACAAAAAAGTTTAACGAACATATTACATTAAAAGAAAATCATTACTGAATTTGGTCGTGAGATTCAAAATATTATTATTATAACTTTTAAATTTAAAAAATCTATGAAAAGAAAATTTGGGACAAATTTTTTTTTTAGATTAATAGAATTGAATGGCTTAAAATCCAATGTGTGGATTACATAATATTTCAAAAATTTTAAACTTTGAGTATAGATGATCCGCACTGTAACTATATTGCAGTATTAAATACTGCTAAATAATTTCTTAATAATTAAATGCTTAATTAATTAAATTAAAAGTATTTTTTTAAAAAATTATTTATAAACTATTTAAATTTAATGTTTAAAATATATTATATTAAAGTAATAAATAAATATTTATTTTAAATACAAATAAGTACTTATAAAATATTAAATACTTAATTATTATAAAATTTAAGTATTTATCAAATAACCGTACTTAATAAATATAGAGTGAATGTTGGATCAAATTCATGATAGTGTAATGAACAATCGGTATAAAGGTTTAGTTAGTTATTAACAACAAAAATGCCCCATTTTTATTTTTTTTATTTGCAAATTTATTGGTTACTTAATAATACTCCAGAACTAAGGATATCGGCTGCAACTTTTGATGATGGTTGCCACCATCTTTGCGTCATATAAAAATGATTGCAACCGCTGGTTGCAACCACATTTACGACCATTTTGTTTCCTTTTTTGGATTGCGACATGAAACACTATCCGGAACTATATTAATATTTATTATTATTATTATATTGCATCACGGAAAAATCCGAATCGCTTACTCAACCTGTTGCTACTTTTATTATTATTATTATGAAATAAACTAGACATTTACGGAATGAATAATGATGACATAATTTATTATTAGGATTTTTTTTTATGTTGAGGTCATCATTATCAATTGATATACAGTACAGTCAAAGCTCGTTATAGTGGATCTCGTTATAGTGGATTTTGCCTATAGTGGACTTATTTATTTTCCCAATTCTCTTTATAATAAAATTTGTTCGTTATAGTGAACTTCTTAATAAAATCGCTTTATCGTGTATAATGGACTTTTAAAAAATTTGATATAGAACATACCTTATGAATTATGTTCGTTATAGTGGAGGTTATGCAGTTTATGGTAATCTTTTACATTAATGGAATGGTTAATGTTAATGTGGTTTCTAGACGGCAATGTGTTAACAAAATTATTTGTGTGCATTATCCTTTTTTGATGGCGGCAATAAAGTATTCTATTCTTGGTTAATTTTTTTTAACATTAAATTAATGTTTGTATGTTATACTCTTTTTTTACTAAAGAAGAAATTATTAGGAACCAAATCTGCATGATTCTGATAAAGAGGAAGAAGTGGAAATGGTAGTTATTACTGATAAAGAGGCATTAAATAGTTTAGAAAAAGTGATTCAATATTTAAAAAATCCACCAGATAATTTTACAATTAGCTATCAAGAATTAAGAATGATTAATAGTTTAAAATCAAAAATTCATAAACGTGTTCAGGATAATGCAAAACAACTTATGTTAGTTTTATTTACTACGTATATATGTGTTGTACATGAATTTATTTGTATTATTAATAAAAAATTGATCTCGTTATAAGGGACTTTTCAATTTATTTATAATAAGTCCACGATAAAGAGATTTTTCTTTATAGCGGGAATTCGTTATAGTGGACAAAAATGCTTGGAACCAAGTGTCCACTATAACAAACTTTGACTGTATGCTGTTTAAAAAGTAGAGGAAACCTAACAAGATATTGATTTGTTTTTTTTTTAACAAAATACAATTAATTTAAAATAGTTTCATATATTTTTTGATTAATTCCTAAAATTTTAGAACTAATTAGATTTAAATATGAGACACATTCCTACTTGTAAAACAACGTTATTATTTATATGCGGTGAAACTTTAGTATATATTAAATTATTTGATATTAAATTATTTTTGGATCATAAAATGACTCACATTATAATAATATAGAAATATACTTTTTTAATTAAGTATATTAGTATTGCGGTGTGCTGTGAGAAATAGCAATCCTCATAATAAGCACAAACGTAATGGTGTGCTCAAATGCTAGTTTAAACCCCCCCCCCCCCCCGCGTAATCAATGATGCTATGATTTGTTAATTTTGTTTGTTTAGGAAAAAAATTTTACAAAAAAGGATATGAATTTAATCGCGTTATATATTAATATAAAAAAATTTTTTTGAGCTGCAGCTGCGATTGAAGCTGCAATTGAAGTTGAAATTGAAGCTAAAGTTGCAGCTGCAGAACACTCTCCCAAAATGGTTTTAATGAGTATTGGTTTTATTTATAAATAAAAAGAAAAACTTTGATCACATAATGATAAATGTAGCCTAGCTTTATGATTAGATATTATATTCAGAATCAAAGGGGCTCCAACACTTCTTATAAGAGAATAACCACCAAGATTGTAATTTACATTTGACAAATACCACTTCCTGCCACTAATCATCTTTAATATTAAATTAATGCTAATGTTGGCCAACTCTTTTTTATTATCAATAACAGCAAATCATAAATGACCATCAGATGTAATTCATCATAATATCATATATTTATTATGTTATAATAAAGAATAACAAGTACATAAAATAATAATAAAATTATGTAAGATTGAATCTTCCAGACTATTCTCCAATGATAACTCCTATAATAACAAAATGATTTTAAATATTATTAATTATTAAAAACCCTAAATCTTGATATTGTTCTAATATTTTTCTTCCATCATTTTCTAGCAAAATTTCATATTTATTATTATAATTATCAAATACTATTGTTAAAGGTTTGGGACCTCTCCAATTATTCATTAGAATGTCCAAAGAATGGTTACTGATATTATAAACTTTACAAGCAAAGGTTATTGACTTTAAATTTCCTGGTAATGTTTCATTTAATACTGTCATAATTTTGTCAAAATTTAATATATTTCCAGAAAATTTACCAAATCTAATACTTTTTAATTTAATACAATTATTAAGTATTTCCATTAATTCCTGGTCTAGTTCATCCTTATATATTGTAGATAAATATTCTAAATTTTTACTATTCTGTGCAATTGATTGAAATAGCTCTCTCAAGAATCCATCAGAAAAGTTTGATATATCTTCTTGAAGATCAAAATATAGACTTACAGATTCAATATTTTGCAATGAAATATTTTTCCAATTTATCATTTCGCTATTAATATTAATTCTTAACTCTAAAGTTTTTAAATTTTTAAGAGTTGGTAATAATAAATTATTAAAATTATCAAAATTACCATAAGATTCATAAAAAATTATTGATTGTGAATGTGTTAATATTGCATTTTTTAATTCATCTGAAAAAATTGCTGATTTAATAATTAAATATTTAATTTGATCTTGTGCTTTAATTAGCTGTGCTATATTATATAGATTTTCATCATCACTTTCACAATATAATTCTAATGATTGAATATTTTTACAAATATTTGCTAATTTATCAAAAAATTCACCACTATCAGTTCTATCACAATCTATTTTATAAAGATTCTGAAAACAATTATCAAATCTATGATGATCAATAAACAAATTATAATCCATATAATAATCTTTATATTCAAGAATATTAAGCCTTCTAATACCTGCTGAATGATCTAAAATAAATTTTCCTAATTTATTTCGTAAAATTTGTATAAGATTTGATTTATCCTTTTTTATCAGGCATTGAAGGTGAGAAAAATCAAAAAATACAGCACAAAATCTGGCATAATTATATAATGGTGGTTTCTCCAATAGTTTAAAAGTTAATTCAATGCCATTTCTAGTTAAGAGATCCTTATCTTCTTCTAACATGCAATTAATTAATATTTTGATGCTGTCTTCACAAACAAATGGATCCTTCCATAAAGTTGGAATATTTATATTGTGCCATTGTTTGTTGATAAGAATACAAGAATATAATGCTTGATAATCATCTCCAATATATTTGAATATTTCAGTCAGAAGCTCAAGTGGCAAGTTATTTATTCCAAACATTTTTTTAAAAAGTAAGTTTGTTACACAATGTAATTGAAAAATTTTTTATTTATTCAATTAATTGACCAATAATAATAATAATAATAACAACAAAAAAAAATGTTTTTGAATCTCGGTCTCGAAAATATATTGGGATCTGAGGTAAAGGTTCCAAGGAAAGGCCATAAGTTTTTGATCATTTTGAACGGTCCGAAACGTCAGTGCAAGATGAAAACCTAAAAGTAGACAATGACAAACACTGAAAAAAATATCTAAAGCGAAACATGATTTCCTTTCGGTCAAGTATCTGCTTTGCTCAACCTTGAAGTTTTGAACAGAAATAAATAAATTTTTCGGTTGACAAATAAATAGCAATGGGAATTTGCATGATATGGCAATGTAAAAGTAATTGCAACCATTTATATTTTTCAATTAATATGCAAGCCAACGTAGCAAAAAAATAAAAATAAAAAACGACTCATTACTCTTTGATTTTGATCTTACCATTCCCCAACAATTCAGTTTACTAAAGTTGAGCAACAAAATGTTTAGAAGATTTGTGATTCGCTATTACCATAACTGCACTGGGTTTGCCGTTTCAAGTCTTAATGAGTCTTTGAATATTTCCCGTGCAATTAAACATTTCAAATTTGGGTAAAATCGTTGGATTAGGAAAAAAATATACGACATTTAGGAAGGAACCGTAACACGGCAACCTTTCTTTCTTTTATGTTATTCTAAAAAAAACCCTCCACTCTATTCATTAAAGCACCAAGTCAAACTTATATTTTATATGTTTATATAATGTCACATTTTAACCAATTATCATCATTATCACCAGAAAGAAAGCATTTTGTATATAAATTTATAGTGAAACTCATCATAATGCAGTGGTTAATAATCCTGGCAATGAAAGTGAAAATGATTTTTTTTTTTTATTGGACTCTTAAAAGTTGTTTTACCTGCTCAGACATACATTTATGTCCAGTATGATTTCTAAAATTTTGCTTTTTACAAGAGCCCAACTCAGGTCAAAGTAATTCATTCTAAAACATTTAAATTTAACCGGAAAAGGAAGAGAAAACTATCTAGAAAATATTTATTATATTAAT